CTGTATGAGGTTATTCACTTGTCTCCTCTTCGCTACTTCCATCGTTAGTTAATTGGTCTTGTGGCATTTTTCTTTTAAGACGTACATGGATGTTTTTCTTCCCTAACTTATAGTGTGTTGCTCCTTCGCAGTTTTTTAAGTTTTCAAAGAACTTCACGTTAAGCCGTTTGATGAAAGTTGTCACTGTAGGTATGTTTAATTCTTTATGAAGTTGGTCATTTCTAACGAACCACGGTGCATTTGTTGCAATCCTTAAAACTTTATTTTGAAAAGTCTGCAATTTCCGCAAATTGGTTTTGGAGGTATTTGACCATACACAGCTGGCGTATGTTAATAGCGATCTCAACAATGATTTATAAAGTAGGAGGGTGCATTCTATTTTTAGTTGGGATTTTCGATTTATGAGGGGATAAAGTTGGTTTAACCGTACATTTGCCTCATTGAGTTTTCGGTTGATATGAAAGCCCCAGTGAAGCCTCGTGTCGAGATATACTCCAAGATATTTAACAGCCTCGGTTGACCATTCTACACCTTCATTGTTAATTGATATTTCTGGTAGCTCTCGGAATCTTCTTAACGTGAACATCTTCAATTGTGTTTTAGCCGGATTTACCATAATTCCCCATTTATTGGCCCATCTGCATACGATATTGATATCATTTTGTAGTGCGTCAGTTGTTTCCATGATGTTATTTCTCTGGCTGATAATAGCGGTGTCGTCAGCAAACATTGATAGTATTCCTGAAACGGTTGGTATATCGTGCACATATATATTAAATAGCAAGGGGGCCAACACGCTGCCTTGAGGTACTCCGGCTTCTATAGATTTAATTGTTGATAATTCGTTATTGATTTTGATTTGGAACGTTCGTTTATCAAGAAATGAGAATAATATAGCTGTTAAATATGATGGTAGTTTTAGGTGTAGTAGTTTGTATTTAAGGCCTTCTAACCAAACTTTATCGAACGCTTGGGCGAAGTCTAGGAAAGCTACCGCTGTGTATTGCTTTGCTTCAAATCCCTTTTCAATAGCTTCACTAAGTCTTAGTAGTTGATGACACGTTGAATGGTTATTTTTGAATCCAAACTGAAATGACGGAATAGTCCTTTCTATCACTAATTCTGTTTTTAGTCGGCTTTGGATGATCTTTTCTAAAATCTTTGATAAAACTGTTAGTAAACTAATAGGACGATAACCGTCCATACAACTGTGATTTTTTCCAGGCTTCGGAAAGACTACGATTTGGGCATGTTTCCATTTATCTGGAAAATACCCAATTCTCAGACATCCATTAAATAGAGTTGTTAAAAAAACTAACATTTTATTGCTGAGTTGTTTTAAAATTTCGTTAGTGATCAAATCGTACCCTGGACTTTTTTTTTTAGGTAGTCGTTTGATTATGATTTTAATTTCATCAGGTGATGTTGGTTCAATTTCACTAGCGATTGGCATATGATTTTCAATGTAGTTTAGTATGTTTATTCTTTGCGTGTTTTTAATTATAGTAGGAGGACGAAAAATTTTTTCTAAATGTTCGCTAAATAGATTGCATTTTTCAGTATCTGAATAAAACGTATTTTGGTCATCTTTGATAGGGCTTATAGTTTGCTTTTGCTGTATTAGCTTTTTCGTTGTTCGCCACATGCCAGGATCATTGTTTCCATATGTTTTAATTTGTTGTTGATAGCGTTCAATTCGAAAAACATCAAGTTCTTTTTTAATTCGGTGTGCCAAGTTGTTCATTCTGTTTTTAATTTCACGGTTCCGCGTTCGATGCCATTCTCGTCTCAAACTGTTTTTTTGTTTTATTAGTTCTGATATAGCAGCTGGTGTAAGTGCTTGATAAGGTTTGTTATTTCGTTTTTTATGAGGAATTGTTGATAGTTTTACACTTTCGCAAATGTTGTTTGTATAATTGGAGATTGTTTGATCTATTTCTTCCTTACAATCGATGTTAATTGGAGCTTTAGCCATTCGATCTAGTGTTTCTCGAAATTTTTCCCATATTGGTTTGCCATTTATCAGTTTTGGCGGTGGTGCGAAGTTTTTAGGAAAACTCTGAAACGATATGATTATTGGTACGTGATCGGAGTTTAATTCGCTTAGAACTTGTTGGGCAATAGGTTTCTTGAAATTTTTTTGTATAACAATATCAATTATATCTGGTAGTCGCTCTTGCTGATACGGATAATACGTGTATTCTTCAGGTGGTATTATCTGTAATGCATTTATTGTTGAAATTTGTTGGAGTTTTATTCCATTTGGATTACTAGCACGGCATCCTCATATTGTATTTTTACAATTCAAATCGCCTATCAAGAGTGTTGGAGTATCGGTATTAAATATGAGTCTTATGTCGCTTTCTATTAGTTGTTTATTTGGCTGTTTGTAGACAGATATTAATTTTATGTTAGTACCATCTATCGTTTTTATTTTAACTCCGACAGCTTCAAGATGTTGAATGCCATTCAAGTGAATTTCTTCATGTTGTATTCCTCCCTTAATTAAAATTGCTGCTCCTCCTGCAGCTGTTGCTGCGTTTCGGTCTTTTCTATACACGTTATATCCTGGAATATTGCATCTTTCGCCTTGCTTTAAATGTGTTTCAGTAATGCATGCTATTTGGATGTTGTGTCGATAGAGAAATTCTATGGTTTCAGATCGTTGGTTCTTTAGACCATTCGCATTCCAGTTCATAACGGTGATGTCTTGTATGGTACGGTTGCTATTGTTAGCCATTGATAAGATTGGGAAGTAGGGAACATGTGATGAATTCTTTGATTTGTGATATAATTGGTGTAAAAAGATCTTTTAGAAATTTGATAATGGTATTTGTAATTGTGGTTGTGAGGGTTGAGGATAGAGGGTGATGATTGGAACCAGAGATAGGAGAAGTGTTTATGTTTTGGTGTTGTATGTTTGGTTGTTTTAGTATTTGTGAATAGCTTCTTGTGGTGGTTTGATAACTATTGCTACTTTGGGGTGTTACTTTTGTAGTTTGGGTAATACCTTGTGGTCTTCGTCTAGGTGCGTTTCGTTGTTGGATGTTTTGATGAACCATACAACCTCTGTAATTCGCTGGATGATTACCGCCGCAGTTTGCGCATGTTGGTGGATCAGTCTTCACCTTTGTGCAATTTTTAGTTATATGTTCTTTCCCACATTTAACACATTTCGGCTGTTTGAAACAGTAGTTTCTAGTGTGACCAAATTCTTGACATCGATGGCATTGTGGTATATTTCCCGGTTTCCTTCTTGCTTCAACGTCAACTATGCATTGAAAGATTGATTTAATATTATATATGCCCTTGGCGCTTTCGTCTGGTTTTAGTTGGACTGCACATATAGGTATCGGTCTTTTGTCTTTATTAAGTAATCTAGTTACTCTAATAATTGGGAGTTTATGGGTTAGTAGCTCGTTGGATATTTCTTCTTCGGTTAAAGATATGGGCAAATGTCTTATAATTACAGATATATGCTTGGAATTAGGATCTTGAAATGAGTGAAATTCAAGTCCTTCTTCCGTGTAGAATTTTGTTAATTTGCGATAGTCATCAATATCGTTTAAATTAATTTTTAGTTTATTGTTAGTATATTTGGTACTAAATTCTTTGGTTACCTTTGTTTTAATATCCTTTAATATTTCTTGGTAGTTTACTACATTATGTAGGAATATTGGTGGTATTTTAGAAGGTTTTTCAGAAATTTGTTGTTGGTCTTCTACTTTATCCGTTTGCATTGTTGATAATGGGTAGTATTTGTTGTTTTGTAGAAGGACATTAGGATTAGGATCCCATGTGTAGCGTTTTTGAGTCTCCGATATGGGAGGTGATAATACATCACTTTTCCTTTTGTTGTTATCTTTTTTTGTTGTTACGGTATTTCCTGACGGGCCTGCAGTGGCATCCATGCTTCCAGGACAGCTTTCCCCTTACGGGAAAGCACGTTTTATAATTAATTTTGTTCCTATTATAAGGATTTATTTCATATACGTATTCTTATAAGGAGTAATAAACCGGTCTTGTCTTGAGGGTGAACCTGTTATCGCGTTTAGAGCGCTCGATACGTCCACTCGCTAGCACTGTCAGACACGGACTCTCACTTATTTGCTTGAATGTAGCAGTATATTCAAGTTCCTACACAAAACCATTTAAATTAGAATAATTATCGTTAAAGATAATTTTCTTCATACTTCAATCACCTTCATACTTAAATTACTTATTTTTGTTATAATTACCATGAATCATTTATGAAATTGTTTATAAATATACAGTTGTTCGGTGTTACAATTACAGAATAATCACAGGCGATAAAATCATTATAAACGGTTTATGGAAAGATCCTTGAAACGGGTCTAAAGATTTAAATTCTTTACAATTTTTGGATTCATGATTTTAAATTTTTCTGCCATACCTAAACAAGTTATGACATCATCGATATTTTTTTTCAAATGGCAAGCCATCATTTTTATTACGGAATATGAAAGAGGATTTTTTTCTGAATCTAGTACAATCAATATTAATATTGATTACGTAATAAAATTTTCGAGAAAAATTGCTTTAAAGTTGTCAGACTGTCAGCCTCATCTCATCCCACCAACACATCTTCTTAAAGTTTTTCTAATTTCTAACATTCCACACTTTTTAACGTCGCCATTCCTATTTCATCTTTTATCTTCATTTTGTTTATCCATCAGATAGCAAAATGCTTTATTTTTATCTGATTTCCAGTCTACACCTATTATAACTTCATTGACTTTGTGGCTGATGATGGGGTAACCCGAAACTAGTACGACTTTATATAAATAAATGCAAGTTAGAAGTTTTTACATGGTTTTTATAAGTAACTATGGTAACCAATTATTTTAAACAATTTCCTAAGTGTCAAAAAGTGGTCGCTAAAAAAAAATATCCTGGTCGCTAACTCATTAGCCAAATATAGCCAAGTATGGTAAGTATATTATCTACACAACATATTCATTATAGAAAGGTAATCAAAAATGAATTCTAAAATATTGATTGCTTTCGCAATTCTAGTGATTATCTCAACAGTTTTAGGTATGTATTTATATCACAAATTATAATCAGACACGTAATTTGCTTAAGAAATTATAATTATTTAGGAGCTGCAATAAACAAATATAGTCATAAAAAGAAACATCACGGTAGATCTTCCTTAAAAAGAATTATTGGTGGTACAGAAGTCGACATATCAGATTATAAATATTACGTTGGTGTTATAAACGCTAAGAGTGTATTTTGTGGCGGAGCTTTGGTGACGGTGAACAGAGTTCTTACAGCTGCTCATTGTGCAGCTGGGAAAGGGACTCAACCATTAAAAGTGTTTCCCGGAACGCAAAGTTTTAGAGAAATGGCCTTGATTAGGCACCTTATTATAATATTAGCGATATGATAAAAAATATGATAACAAAGAATATACTTACGTTATAGCTATCTTGTACTTGGAAAAACACGTTAAGTTATGTGAACATGTGGCAACAATCGACGTTGCACCCAAAATTATACCCTGTATAATGAAACAACTTATCGCGTAACTGGTGCGTTAGAACTTTTTTAGGTTCCACTATTCGTACAGTTTTGAAATTTTGGTAGCATGGCTTATTCATTCGGAACTTTCGATCTAAAATACTTTCATGATGGCTGCTACTTCCGGTCTACCGAAATATAATGTTCATGAGAAGGGGTACCGGCCCACAATACATCCTCAGCAAAATGTTCCTACTACAAGGGAAGATGTAATAGAGTTCCACATAAGCATGCGGAAAATGTAACAATGCATGTGGTAATGATTTGAAGCCAGAATGGATAAAATATATGCCATTTGAAGACACTGCCATGAGTGGCAGGGACTATATGATAACGGTTATTTTCATCAAATGGATTCATCACTTTGCCCAATATTAAGCTACAACAGATAAGAGACAATCTTCAATGTGTAGAACACACCATGAGAAAAGACACATCTTCTGACTTCAATCCTAAAACAATCCCAGCATCTTCTCCTTGGTGGAAGTAGTAACATAGTACCACTCCAGAATCAACTCACAACAGTTTCAACCCGATCTTTCAGCAATGGAGATGCACGACTAAACCCGAAACTTTGTAGTTCTAGGTCTAGTGTTAATTTAATTCTAGTTTTGACCTATTAACCGCCAAATAGCAGACAATTCAATATATGGCAACAAGGAAGCATTGGGCCACAAAGAGGTTCGAGGTTTGGCGCGGGCTAGCACCGACCGCCTCTGGCAAGAGAGGTGAGACGAAGAGCGCTGCGGCATATGGCGTGCCCAAACGGCGAACACCACCTGGACGATGTCGAACATACAACATTCAGCAGCTACATTAATACAGGAAGTCGGACCCATTAAGCCAAGAGCGATGTTAACAAAGTGATAGATGAAGAAGACATCTGGTGAAAGCCTTTATTACAACATTGTTGTCCAAAAAATAGAGGGAAATGGATAAACCCGAGAAGGTGCCCTTATATGCACTTCTTTATGTTGAAACCTTAAAACAAAAAACCTATTATGTTTTATTATAATGTACCTGGAGCGTGACAACATCATTGCTAACAAGATGACTGATGTAAGTTACCCCGATAGCTTTTAAACAAAACGTAAATTGTAATTTTTTGTTGTTTCACGTAAAGACATGGAAACGTTACGGCTACGAGGCAAGCAAGCGTCTGCGGCAAAACGTAGCAGAGGGTGCCCTTGAAGGCTTGACGAACGGTCCAAGTAGATAAAGTTGACGGAGGGAACACCTCGACGGATGCAACAGCCCTCCCCCATCGGTTATCTTAAGTTTTATTATAAAATACTCACCTGGGACATGACAACACCTCGAGACTAATGGAGGCCATACACGGGTTTGCTTGATAGTTTTAGCCTTGCATGTATAATCGACAGGTATAACCGAGTTTCATATTGTACACGTTATACACATACACGTTAGGGTTTGCATGCACAGTTTTGCCATAAACTCTCAGTTAAAGACAGTTGGAGCTACGTGACGGTAAGTGTAGGACAGTTATCTACATTACTGTGCACGGTATACCAAACTAACAAAGGACGACGACGATCTGATAGCTGTACTTGGCTTAACACTTGTTCTACAGAATAGAAAAAGAAGAGCTCACTCGGAATGGTGTAAACGCTGGTTATTGAAAAGGAAGCAGTTCTCTCACGTAAATTTGTTAAATGTATTGAGATTTACACCAACAGATTGCAAAAATTATTTCCGAATGGATGAAAATCTTTATTTGAAACTGTTATCATTGATCGCTCCGTTGAGAACTGTGCATGCAAGCTCGCCGGACGCCACGCACGCCTGGTTATGCATGCGCGCAAACATAACCGAGCAGCAGAAAATATCAATTTTGATAGTTGCTTGGTTGCATGTACATGCGCCGATAACTGTACAGTTTTATCAAATACACGCTAGGGGTTGCCTGTCGGTTATGCATGTAAGGCTAAAACCATCATGCAAACCCTATGGTATATGGCGTCCATTAGAGGGCTACGGGTATGAGGAGACCCTATGGGTGCAATAGCCTCCTCCCAGCGGTTTTTGATTTTCATGTAAACACTTACCCAAAAGGGATGCCACGAATGCGAAGCAAGATATTTCGAAGTGTCAAGGCAATGACGACGGTTCCCTGATAAAATGCCCTGACGTGTGGATCCAGGAAGAGAGGGGGGTTTTTAGTGGGTAGTAAACTATAAGTCTGCTTTGGTTTAAGAGTTCTGTAATTCCGAACAGTTCTGAACGTTTCTGCGCATACATATTGTATATTAGATGTATGCGGATACATATTGTATATTAGAGGTATGTGCGGAAAGGTTCTGAACTACAGAACTCTTGAACCACAACAGACCTTATATTCATATTAATCGTTCAGGCGCCAACAGTAGCCTGGTGTGAGTAAATTGCATTTTCCCTTCCTGTACGCACAAAAGAAGTTGTAGTTTTAGTTATTATTCAGCGTCAATTTGTTGTATAGTTTTTTAAGTAGAACTAACACTAGACCTAGAAACATTCGGGGTTAGCCGAGCGTCTCTTAAAATGACTAACTCGAATGTTTCTAGTCTCTAGATCTAGTGTTAGTGTTAGTGGATGCTCGGTCTGTCTGTTGTGGCCTATTCTTTGACTTGTCTAGAGCGTTTGATACCCTACATCACCAACTACTCTTAGAAAAATTGAGTCGATATGGTATTCGAGGCCCAGCCTTAGCGTGGATTCAAATTTACCTGTCTCGTAGGCAGCAGCAGTTCTAGTGTTAATGTTAGATCTAGATTTAGTTGTTATTCAGTGTTAGATTGTTGTATATTTTCATTATATTGAATTGCTTGAAGGTAATATGTTGACCATTTTTTCCCAAATTCATCGATTACTCTCCGTAGATACTGATATCGATTAAGTCGATCGGTCTTTACGTCCAATAGTGTCGGCTCTGGAACCACCGTTAATGGTGTTCCAATGAGAAAATGAGCTGGCGACAGTATATCAAAATTAGTGGGTTCATCGGAAAGCGGAATCAAAAGGACGAGAGTTCAGGACGGCCTCAATTTGTATTAAAATGGTAGAAAACTCTTCATACGTGAGTACAGTTGAACCCAAAAAATTTTTAAGGTGATTTTAACTGACCGAACTCCAGCCTCCCACTTCCACCGAAATAAGGCGATGCAGGAGGGTTAAATTTCCATCGAGCTCCATCATTAGCAAGAATGGAGGCCAATTGATTCCACTGTCTGGAAGCGGCAGAAAACAGTGAACACAATTCTCTATCGGCGCCGACGAGGTTCGTGCCGCAGTCACTGTAAATGCATTGACTAAGTCCCCGACGCCCAGTGAATCGTTTGTAAGCTGTGAAAAAACCCTCGGTAGTGTAATCCGTTGCTAATTCCAGATGGACTGCAGATGTGGCTAAACATACTAAAATAATAAGATATGATTTATATGTTTTAAAACCTCGTCCCTTGGAAATCTTAATTATGAATGGTCCTGCATAATCGACACCGGTGTGTAGGAAAGGGCGTGCAGGAACAACCCGAGCTGGAGGGAGCTGTCCCATTAATTGTTGTCCAGCTTGGATCCGAAACCGGACGCCGACGATGCATCGGTGGATGAAAGAACGGATGGTTCTTCCACCAAGAACCCAGAAACATCTTCGGATGGATGATAGGGTAAGTTGAGTTCCCCCATGTAGAGTTTTTCGGTGATGAGAATCGATTATTAAATTATCATCAACTTTTTCATCCCAGTCGAGAATCGTAAATCGTAGGCGTCCTGTAATCCTCATGATACCATCACCGTCAATAAAGGGAGCTAAACGATGTAAAGAACTGGACTTTATATTTTAAGGTAATTGGGACTCACAGACCAACGAGTGTGACTGTGTAAGAGAGTGTACTGGTAAGTAGATAATTATCTTTCAAACAATAATATTTGTATATTTCCATACAAAAATACATTTTAACAATCACAGCGAATTTCTTTTTTATCACAAAACTAACATAAACTAACCATATCATAAATCGTATTTTAAACATTAACGGTAGATAACGCTTGGTAAAATCCATTATCAGCATCAATTTTGGATATATAGGACAATTGTATCGATTGAAAATCGACCATACCAAAATCGTAATTCTTGTATTTCTCCATTATTGAAGTAGCATCAAACGGTATTTTTGACCATTTTCGTATATTTTTACCCTTTCTATATTTCGTGTTGATTAAGGTTACGTGTAACTTAACAGTCGGTTTATATTGGCGAACCAAACCCCCCAAATAAAATTCATTCGAAATCGCATCTACCACTTTTTGCAAAGAATTTTCGTCTTCTTCATCGCCAAATTTTGCGTTTGCGTACATTACGTTTACTTTGGAATAGTTTCCGTCCATACAGTTTATACCTTTCACGTGGATTTTCAATGGTCCGGTTTTTTTGATTAATGGGCTAAACAAAATTAGAACAAAAATTAAAGGTATTTGTTCTACAGGGTGGGGCAGTCAAATCGCATTATTTAAAACTATTAAAAAAGTATTATAAAACATAAATTTAATTTTTTTTTGCAACAAATAATAGAAGCAGAAAATTCACTTTTTGAATATTGAGTCAGTCAAGTCGTACAATAGTACGAGGCTTTTATAATGAGTTAGTTGACAATACACTTGACAGGTGAACAACGGGGTTTTGCCGTTACAGCTTATTTCGACAATGGTCAAAGTTGTGTGTAAGCACAACGCGAATTCCGCCGATATTTTCATTTACCTCATGCTCATGATCCGGGTTGGAAAGCCATTTCTGTTTAGACTCTTAACATAAAACAGTACGAGCATCAATTGTAAGAAGTCTTCAAAGAACTGCAAGGTGTCAGCGTTGCTCTACTACTTTCGACTATACCAGTAAGAAAAATTTTACATAATGATTTCCACCTATATCCGTACAAGAAAAGCTGATTTCAACCTAAGCGGATATGTTAATAAACATAACTTTCGCTATTGGACCCCTGAAAACCCTCACCAACTTCATGAACAACCAATCGACGAAAGATACAGTTTGGTGTGATGTCTTCGAATAGCATAATTGGCCCATTCTTTATTGAGAATGATGATGGCCATGCAGTTACATCAACGCGGCATGTTCGAATGCTGAAACCTTTTTCATGCCACAAGTGCCTATAAATGGGCACTACAGTAAAACCTCGATATAACGGACATCGTATGTAACGGACAAAATATTTTTAAGTCATATCAGTATATTTAAATATAGATGTTAGCACTCATAGATAGAATTCAAGTCAGGTGATTCGCCAAGTTGTTCTATTCCAAGTTCATAGATAAACTCGTGGTATTCCCCGAGTTCTCTGCACAATGTATAAATCAAGATTGCGATCAATTTTAAAGATGTAGGCAATGAGGATAATTTTAAGGCGGAGTTCTACCAAAACGGTTAGTATCAAAAACTACCCCTAACAGTAACAAATCATGGAAACTCATCACTACGAGTAGTGATGCATGTAACAATCAAGCCTTTCTTATTGTTACAGCTACCCAGGATGAACGACGTGTTTGACGTGATAGGGTTCTCATCCTATCAGGGTGCTTTTTGAATGTGAGTTTTCTTGCCTCTCACGAATCGGGGTGCTTTTTGACCTATACTTTAAAATTAGGACAGTAATGTGAAGAGTTGTCGTATGTTTCCGTAAGAAGTGCTGCATGCACATTGATGTTCAAACACCAAACTAATTTAATTTTTGCAATATCATTGCACAGTTCACACAAGTTATTGCAATTTTTGAAACAGCAGTTTGCAGAGGTTTCGCATTTGTTAGAGGTTGTTCTTTTTTGCAATACAGCCACACTTCCACCAAGCGTATCGAAATATATTCTTAGATCTCGGAGAGGAAAACTGGTTGTGTATTAAAGACTGTATTTTGAGGATGTTGTTCCGTAGATGTAAATTTACACCATAATTATACAGCATAACAATATCAGAAAATTGTCTTAAAAAATTCTTCCAAGACCTAAAAGTATAAACGTCCAGCGGTCGATTCTCCAAAACATGTTTGAACCAATTAATGGGAAGATCGGATGTTAATTTGCTTGATTTTGTTGCAAATACGGTATATTGTCTGCCGTGTACAAAGTTTTTTCAACGATTAGTTCAAATTTACCATTAGTCTTTTACAAAACTATTAATAAAGAGGACTTTAAATCTCCGTTGGCAGAAAAGATTGTGACTTTCAATGATCCTTTTATTGCAAGTGCACACACTGATGCATGTATTTCTAAATTAAATCCCGATTGATCGGAATTATAGACATTGTCTTCACCTACCGACGTAATCTTTGACTTTACTTTAGAAACAAATTCACTTGATGCTTGTAGTAATTGTTCCTTTGACGACATTCGCTTTTTAGTCACCAATGTATTTACACTTTACACGTATTTTACTTTTTGTGATACAATTCCATGATTCACTTTAAAATTATGTAACCAAAATATGGAAGCAGTGAATAATGTGGGTGGCAAATTGACTTCTTCTCTAACCCGTAAAGCCCATCTTTTTATATGAATGTCGTGAATAAGAAGCAATGTCTCAGAGGACATTTTAAATTGAAATTATTCATTTCTCGAGCCACTTTCTTTAATTTGCTTTAATGATTTCAAATCAGGAACGTTTCTAAATCTGTGCTGAACTGACATTAAAGGCAAAAAAATTGTACAGCTTTTTTTTTGTACACAAACAGCTACAACAGTTAAAAGACAAAAGTTCAACTTGTGACAAGAGCAGTTAACTTTAGTAAATACAGCAAGTAAGTGAGCTTAGCGATTGAAATGAGAAACAAATAGTCCGTTCCAAGGTACAAGAATATTATTTATATTATTCTTATTATTCTATACAGGATGTCCCTTATCTTTCGGATCAGAGCATTATACGGTTGAAGGATACATTTCCGGAATTTTTCTAATAAAAATTTGTCGATGTGTTTATAATAACCGCACGGGAACTGTTTAAAGTCGTCCAATAGCAATTCATGAAAAGAGAAATAAACACGTGAGAAACGCCCTAAACACGAAAGACCGATTACCTGGGTCTGATTTACGATCTCCTATTGGATGACTTTAAACAGTTCCCGTGCGGTTATTACAAACATTTCGAAAAATTTTTATTAAAAAAAATCGCTTCAGAATAATGTATCCTTCAAGCGTAAAGCTCTGATCCGGAAGATACGGGACACCTGTATATCTGTTCAGTGCTTATATTCATACCCGACGTCATCATTGCAAGTATGCAACCAATATCACAGTGCAATACGCATCATACGTAAATCGCGTATTGCAATACCAATACTGTGATATTGGTTGCATACTTGCAATGATAACGTCGGGTACGATAATTAATTAACACACTGTAGGTAATTAATTTTTCCGAGCGCAAGAATTCAATTACCACTTTTGTAACGTACAATAATAATACAAATGTTAAAAACAATAAACAATTAGTACCGAAGAAAATGACACGAAATGACAATCTCTGAAATGCGGATCGGTCTGCTAACAATTTTAAGTAACAAATTTAATCAAATTTAATTTAATCGACAATTTTAATCGATCACCAGATTATTATTAAACAAACATTTTAGAATAATTCGTAAAATAATCTAACTTATCTTCAAAATCGGAAAGGGTTATTTCTGGCCATACACTTGTATGCCAAGATTCATGAAAATGGGCGAATGGCACTTCTCTACTGTTACTTGTTAGTGTTAATTCTTGTTTTAGTGGTTATTCAGCGTTGAATTGTTGAATATTTTTCATTGAACTAAAACTAGAACTAACACTAGACGTAGAAATAGAAAGTTGTAATGTTTTTGGTTCTAGGTCTAGTGTTAGTTCTAGATTTAGTTGTTATTCAGTGTTAGATTGTATATTTTTATTAAACGGAAAGTAGATCCAATAATAATAATAATATCTTTATTTATTGTAAGGAAAATTTTCAATTTATACTTGAAACGGTTGAAATCGAGCCTCTTAAATGTTATCGGCAAATGATTGTATAAGCGAATCATCATATGTTGAGGGCTATTTTGGGTGAGAGACAGTCGGCATTTGGGTATGTACAGATTTCCAGCCTACCTAGTGGGGTATTGAGTATTTGTATCACCACTCCTAGCAAACTCCGTAAGGTGTTTCTTTACATATAAGAGTGATTGCAGAATATAAACTCAAAGCATGGTTAATAAGCGATTCTTTCGAAATGATTCCTTACATGATTCATTATAAGACAAATCGAACATCGACCTAATGACTTTCTTCTGGGCCACAAACACCCGTTGTGAAGTCGAAGAATTGTCTCAACACACAATGCCATAATTTAGATGGGAATAAACCAAACCGTAATAAATAGTTTTGACAATTTCGGTGTCAAGTACCTTCTGAAGTTTCAAAAACAAATACGAGAGTGAGGATAGCTTGTTTGAAAGAACTCGTGTCTGCTCATCCCAGGAAAAGTGTGCATCAAACTGTATACCAAGAAATTTCACATTGTTTGCAGATTTAACCGATGTTCCATCGACTTTACCCAGCACGCTGAAATCAGGTTTATTGTATTTTGAGGTGAACTGCGTTAGTTGCGTTTTACCACAGTTCAATATCAAACCATTGGTGTTACACCAATGTATCATTTCGCGAGCAACATCAGTGATCCTCATTGACAACTGCGGAACTGATTTAGCCTTTATTGCGACGGAACGATCGTCGGCAAATAAAACCTGTGTACAATCTGTACAAGATAAAGGGACATCGTTTATGTACAAAATGAAAAGCAACGGCCCCAATATGATCCCCTCACTGAAAACAGTTTCTTCACTCAAGTTGATGCAGGATAACCTCAGAGGACACCTCGAGATCCTCAAGGACCCATGTCTAAATCACCTGATTGAAATTAAAACGGACCTCATACCGACGGAATACAATCTCAACCAACCATATAAGGTCATATTTAGAAGCAGGGATGATTGGGCGAAGGGAGGGCCTCAACTAAAAAGAGGAGCCCTAGCCTGGTACACCGATGCTTCAAAGACAGTAAGATCTGAAGTAGGCTTGGGCATCAGTGGACCAAATAGCCACATTAAATTGCCCCTCAGTTCGGACTTAACAATTTTCCAAGCAGAGGTTCTTGCTATAAACTAAGCTAAGCACAGCTTTGAACCTACAGAAGGGACAAAAACGTGCATCCATAAACATTTTCACAGACAGTCGGGCCGCCTTAAAGGCAATTCAGGCCTACACGTGTGACTCCGCACTGATCAGAGAATGTACCAACAACCTGAGAGAACTCGCTAAGGGCAATGATGTTACCCTATGGTAGGTTCCAGGTCACAGCAACATTGAGGGCAATGAGAAGGCCGACAAGCTGGCCAAAGAGGCAGCAAACACGCCCTTCATTGGACCAAAAACCTGGTTGTGGACTACAAAAAAAGCCACCTAAAACAAATAATTAACAACTGGGAGGTTTCAAAGATAGCCTTACGCTGGAAAGAACTTCCAGGTCACAGACAAGCGACGAGTATGATAACTCCGTCGCAAAACAAAACCAAAGAGGTTTTATGCCTCAGCAAAGGGGATCTAAGAACGCTCTCAGGCTACCTGACCGGCCATGCGCCCCTAAAATACCACCTCTTCCACATTGGACAAGCTGAGGATCAAACTTGCCGACTATGCAACGACGAGTCAGAAACTGCTGAACATATACTGTGCAATTGCGTCGCCAGAGGCCGTCTAAGACACAACATCTTCGGTAAAACTCCCCTGTTACCTACCGACATAAAGGTTCAAGACCTCAGGATAATACTAAGGTTCATTAAGGACCTACATTTGCCCTAAACCTTTGGAGGGCTAAAGTTACAATAGATCTTATAGGTCGTGGTAACGAGGGGGGCCGCTCTCCTCAGCCCCGCCAGCAATAATAATAATAATATGCTCCCCTGAGGGACTCCATATTGCACTGGGAGGTGAGGCGAGTAAACAGTACTATTATTCTTTGACCACTTTACCAGCTACTGCCTGCGAGACAGGTAAATTTGAATCCACGCTAAGGTTGGGCCTCGAATACCATATCGACTCAATTTTTCTAAGAGTAGTTGGTGATGTAGAGTATCAAACGCTCTAGACGAGTTAAAGAATAGGCCACAACAGACAGACCGAGCATCCACTAACACTAACACTAGCACTAGTACTAGAAACATTCGGATTTAGCCATCTTAAGAGACGCATGGCATAATCCGAATGTTTCCAGGTCTAGTGTTAGTTCTAATGCTAGTGTTAATTCTTGTTTTTGGTGAATAGCTGTTTGAATTTGTGTGCATTAAAATTATTCATTCAAACAGTTTAAAGTGCAAATTAAAAATTTGTCATATAATAGACACTCTCTTTCCCGTATTAATCGAGGTTTTTTTCTTATCGACCTGAGCTCGTGGGACTATTTTTTATCTCAAGTCTAAGGTGTATGAGGTACGCCCGCCAACAATACGACGGAGAACATACTTAAAAGTGCGGATTGAAATTCATGCAATAACGCCATCGATACTACGACGCGACGTGTCAGTGATAATTTCCGTGAAAGACTTAGATAATGTGTACAAAATGATAGTCGTTATTTTTCTGAAGTAATATTCAAAAAATGTCATCTTTTGTCTTAACATAAATTTAAACTTATGCTTTATAATAATACTTTCTTGATACTTTTAAATAGTGCGATTTGACTACCCTATCCTGTATAAGCATTAATAATTACGTTAGTATTTTACATTTACAATCATTAAGAATATTAATTGCTTGAAGCACTTCCATGCTATCCATAAGAGCAAAAACAGCTACAGTTAGATGAAGACGTTCAGGTTTTTGAAAAATTGTTGGATCCATTCCTTTTATATTGTTTTCATCGGCAAGTAGCGTTTCCTATTAAAACATTTGTCTCAAACATTCTTTTCTTTGAAAAACTTTACCTTGAATTTTTCAAAATTCCCTCTAATTTCCTCACATTGTGTTGGTATCCCCACAAATTGCATGGCTGGTTGTTGATCCCTAATTGTGCTTATCAGCGATTGTAATTTTAATCGGGCGTTAATTACGTCATCAAGTATGGGACCTTTTATTATAATTTTTTCTTCGACGCCTTCTGTGGGTATCTTAATTTCCGCACCTGTATCTTTTTCTAGATCTTTAACCGTAATTTTACGATAACTATGAATCTTTTTATAATAAGGTCTACCAAAAGAAAATTAAATAAAACTTAAGTTTATATCATCAAAATTTAATGAAGAAGTTGAAACTCACAATGCTAACTTAAAAGATGTATGGAAACGATCCTCAACAACATTAATATTGTACTCTCTTCTAAATCTTTCTGTAACCATCGATATGAAATCAAATTAAAATGGATAAATAAACAAAATTTTAAGTTTTTTCAACTATTTTTAAATAAAATTTAAATCTGTTTAATTCTTACCCCTACACTCTTCAGTAGCGATAACTTCCTTTGCGTTTTTATTGTATTTTTGCACTTCGTGACACTTTCCATCGATCCAAATTCGGCTTGGTTTTACGGTTTCCATAAACTTTGCGATTTTCGACATTCTTTTTGTATACATCTAAGTTTTGTTATCATGGAAACCACTCAAAACGTCAAACGAATAACTATATTAATACAGTAATACACCAGTAATAGTAGGACGTAATTTTTAATTAATCGATGAATTAAATTATTTTTATTGTTAACTAAAAATATTTTGAAAAACTAAGGTTTGTTGGAGCGCGCCCAACAGCTGATTTGTGATATTTTGGGCATGCGTAGTATACTATTTTGAATTAGAGCTTGTATTTAAACTATCGACAAGTAGATGTCAGCCTAAACATAGATTTCTATTCATTTTATGAGTGATATTAAAGTTGCCTATACAACGGTAATTTAAAGATTTATTAATTTTAGATAGCTGAAATGGCTTGCTGTAAGCTTTTTTGATAATTACATTTCTCAGGTTTTTTTTTTTGATCTTATTCTTTGTCTGAAATTTAATCGATACCACTCTGTTTGTTTGTAGCTCGTTTTGTAACAAAACTCGTCTTCTCCTTTTTTAAATTGTAGAACTTCATTAATTTTAAATTCATCTCCGTCAGTATTTTTATTAATGTTGAGACCGATATCAACTGCTAATAACTTGACGTCAAGAAAACTTTCAAGCCCAGTTCTTTAACTTCTATTTTGTTTCCTTTTTTCTTAGCCCCATGAATAATAGAAATATACTGTTCAGGAATATAAATCGGCCCAGATTTCTTGCCCAACAAAATTCTTTTCTCGATAACACTGTGGATTGCAACAGCTTCGTTCTGGTGTGTTCACGTATTAAAAATTTGTGTGTTATTGAACTAATTTGAAACTTTTCTACTGCGTAGATATAGGTTGCAATAAGAAATCTAAAACATTCGGAGATAATAAACATGTTTGGAAATTTCATAATTTTGTCTTCTTATACCTATGCTTTTGTTGCCCCATGCACTTTCTATTTCTATCGCTCCTCTGTTTCCAAATACTTCATGCCAAAAGAATGCCTTTGTTGTATCTTTGGCTAATTCCGTTATCTAACAAAAAAATAATATTATGAACAACTAATTCAGAAAAATAATTATAACCTACCGTGAAATTATAGCAATTTAATCTAGATTTATAGAAGAATGCTGATGATTGTCCTACAGGTACAGGCAACACTGCCTGTAAATCATAAACAGCCAATGTAATTTCGTCATCTTGTGCTCTTCTTTGCTCACTTTCTTTCTCTTTTCGACTAAGCTCCTTTTCTTCTAAGTGTTCTTCATACTTTTGTTTCAGTTTTATTTTCTCATTGTCTGGTATATTTTTATAACTTTCACAAAGATCGCATTGATCTTTTTTCGGAACGAAGAATCCGATATTGAATTTTGTGTTGAAGATAGTAGCATAATAATCGTATGACACTGATGGTTGATTCGAAGCAGATCTTTTCTCACAATAATTCCTGTGCATTTCCGCAATTGTTAATCCGCCGTCTATGAATTCTCTAGTTGTATCTTTACGGACGTAGTGGCTCTCAATACGTGGCATAGAATTGATGTGATCGAATACTGATTTCACTACCTCTTAGTCAATTCTCTTATCATTTCCATGCTTTCCTCTCCGATCTTCTGATATAAATCCCTGCTCAGATACTTTTGATTTAATCACAGTTCTAATCACTTTTTCCGAAATCCCAAAAATTTTCGTCAAAAACGTCTTACATACTCTGATCTTTTCTCCATTATTGTGAAGGTAAAACGCACAGTTTGGTTTTCTCGGCTCTGTAGATGAAACTCTCCTATATTTAAGCATCAGTTTTTCGATACATGAGCCAAGAAAATCTCGCTGGCGTTGCAAGTTTCCTAAGTCCCAGTATTTTTTAAACAGTTGACTTCTACAATCCTCAGAGATGTTTTGTGAACAAGAACGAATGCATTTATCGGAGCAAGCAGGTTTCGTGGACTTAGCTTTGACAATTTTTCCAGTTCTTAAAGAAGTGTATTGTTGACCTGAGTTTCTGAAACGTTTTGCTTTCACTTGTTTCCAATTGTTCATATTTTTAATTCTTCTTTTTCCTTTCTTGACTGGGGAATACGTAGATTCTTCTTCATTATTATCAGCATTATTCTTAAGATTTATTGATCTTTCACTTGAAGAACACGAATCACTATTATTAGGACCATCATTAGGGTTGTAATCATCACCTGATCCCGCAGAAAATGGCTCCTCTTCAGAAGAGCAGTATACCTTGTAACTCTGGTTTATTTTCCTTAACATCAATTTTGAAGTACTTTTCCTTTCGGCCATGTAATGTTCGTTTAAAGCTTTACTTATAGAAGAAGAATTAAAAATTTCTACAAGAGGAAAGCTCTGACTTTGGGCTTCAGCGTTAAATGATTCATTCTCATTAATAGAATTTTCGTCAGTAGCGGTTTCTGTTTTAGAGCATATATTGGGAGGTATATTTTCATTGGAAGGACAATTAGGAATTGCAGGAACAGCGATATTACTCACTACTTGAGTTGTCGCTAGACTCAATATTTTATAAGTTCGGGAACTCATTTCTCTGCAACAGAAACCGCAGGTACTTATTACATCAGAAAACAGCTTTTAATATTGCATTTTGCACCTAAACTGTAATTTACAATGTGTCTTAATGTAATTGCGTCACTTGGTTAGTTGAAAAATTGTTAGAGCAACATTAACGTAAGGTACAATTATGTTTAGAGTTCATAACACTTTTTAAAGTAATACAGACGTAAAGTACATTTACGGCCATAGTTCACAATAATTTTCAGAAAAATATAGACGTGAAGTACAATTGCGTCTATATTCTGCCGAATCACACAATAATTATGACAATTATATGGAACTTAGTAAAACATAAACTTAAAGTGTACTTACCTCCTTGTTCTTCTGAAAATAAGCAAGAATGAATCACGACAATAGTTCTAACCAGCATTTACGGCAATATTTCACTAAGTTTGCGGCAAATCCCGTGATAGCGAAGACGCAACTAATAAAGACGTCGGTATTTTCACGGAGCAATGCTGTCAGATTCGCGCAATGTGACAAGGACGTAACGGCCCTCTGACAGCCAATACTACAAGTACATGTACGGCGTTTTTTAGCGAATAAATAGCAATATTCTGCGTTAGTTTACACAAGTAACTCATTTTCTACAAAAATTGCAGTTGCGTCCATGTATACTGGAGCAGCGATATGAACTTATATGAACGTTTCCAGATAGATATCTGTGGCAACCTCCACATTCAGTATAATATAATACCATAGTGATGTGATAAGTTATGTTAACAAAAAATAAAAAACCATAACTACAAAAAACAATAAACAAAAAAATAAATAAATTTATTAATGAAGTTAAAAAAAGTTAAATTGGTGTTCTCATTTTTTATGTAGTACAAATTAATTAATTTAAAATTAGCTTGTAACTACACGTGGAACAACGTGGAAGGAAAAATGGCAATAGTCGACCGAGATTTGGGCCAAGGTTTATATATAAGAGGTTGTCTAGGTTCGTACGCAACCATACTGCGCATTACGTCACATGTGGAAAAGAATACCGTCAAGCAATTCAAATTAAACAAATGCATGGAGCACCACATGGCCAAGAGGTTGCGTGCGCAATCCGTGATCGCTTACGTCATGAAACACTCCTGCCCTTGCCCCTCGCCCACAAACTAAAATCAAAGTATTGCAGCATAGGAACTTAGACAACCTTTAATATATAAACCTTGGGTTTGGGCAACATGAAGCAGCATTAAGACCTGTACAGGTGTCTCAAATTTGTTGCCCGCATAGGCCAGTGGTGGCCAGTGGTGTCCATAACGTCGAAGCCATTTTGTGTCGATCGTCAACAAAATCATGAATCTGAAATATCTATAATATACATATTTATGTTATGCTCTAAAATTCTCAATATGCAAGAAATCATGACCACAGCTTTTAAAATCAGTAATTCTATCCGGGCAAAAAGTTTACAAAGAAATTAAACAATTTCTTATTACAAGAGGCGACAATTACAGGATGTTGGAAGAAGATATTTGGCTTTAAGATTTGTCTTTTCTGACAGATATTACAAATAAGCTGAATGATTTGAATTTAGAACTTCAAGGACAGAATAAAACAATTTTCGACATGATGAGTTCTGTAAATGCCTTTAAATAAACTAATCGATTTAAATAGGTATAAAAACTAATTAATAACCTAATTGCAGATTTTGACAATCGTTTTTAAGAATTTAAAAAAATTGATGTTAAACACTTTCTAACACTTTTCCGTTTAATAATAGTATATTAAAAAACAAGTTTCGTAAGACACGTTTGAAATGCACGAATTCAAGTTGAAAAACGAGTGGCGAAGCCACGAGTTTTTTAATGAATGAGTGCTTTAAGTCTTAAGAAACGTGTTTTTTATGCTATTTTTTGTAATTCGCGTTTTTATAAATAAAATAAATTTTGACAATGTAGGGAAATAGGTATGTAGCAGTTGGTAACACCGTAACACATGAAAATAGAAATTTGAATTGACAATTAGAAACTGTCAAAACACAAAATGAATTCATCTGAAAAAAATGTTTCATGTACACCTCCCAACATAAGAGAAATTGCTCAGTGTTTAGTGGCCTCATCATTGTGGACCTTGTATTCGATGCTAAGAACGTGTTTAAACATCCATAGACAAAAATTGTCACATTGACAATTAGAAAAATTAATGACCCAATGTCACCAACTTGAACTGGTTGCATAAAATGTTACTAAAATCTCATTACAGCATCGGATGCTGTAAGGAGTCTCATTACAGCACCCGTTTGAGTACTGTTAGAGCTTTCATTACCGTCGCGAATTACAAAAAAATATAAATATAGAAAAAGTTGCAGAGAAACTGTCTGACTTGTTCGAAATGGATGTACATAAGTTAGATTATCACTGCAAAATCATAACACTGCAAAACGATATGTTAAAGCAAGGGCATATGAACAAAATTTTTTGAAATATTTATCGGAAGACTAGTATACAAATTTTCGAAAATTCCCAAAACATTCCCATGAAAGTAGCATACATTCGTAGAGATAAACAGTTTTGGAGAACAAATATGGAAATTAAATTATTAAGATTTTATAAAGAATGTATGTTACCAGAATTAGTTGATCCACGGCATACTCGTCACCTACCAATTCGCGAACCAAATTTTATAAAAGCAGCACAGATAAATCGAAAACGACCACGCAATCAGTAACAGTATAAAAGAACTACAATGATATCGAAAATTACTTCTTTCAATGAAATCTACACCGGAATAGTACAATAAACCCGGAACAGTTTCATACAAAATACTTCCTTTTCTTTGAATGGAATACCCAGTAATTTTTTATTTTTTTTTGTTGCAATTTCTGAAAGGAGTTTTTATGTTGTATTCAAAAATGAAAAAAATTACTGGGAAAAAAATTCTTGGCATTTTCGGCCAAGAACGGTAGCGAAAAAAAAAAATTTGAATGTTGTAATAAATTCGTCATTTACTATACATATAACGCCGCATTAAAAAAAATCTCAAGTAACAACGATATTTGACCATTCCGGGAGTTTGTACTAACCATATAGAAAGGATAATTTCTCACTTTTTATATTTAGATATCACGATAATAAAACTTCTTTTTTTATTTTACTCTACATCAAACGTTTGTTTACCTCTTACAGTCACAATCCACAGGTTTTAAAACCGTTTATTTCTTCTTAACTTTGTTAGAAGATGTGCCAGTCAATATCTACGAACTACAAAATGTGGTTTCAACAAGATGGTTGCCCTTATGTCTTGCAAAAAGACTCTTTCAAATAAGATTAATCTAAAGACAAAATTAAACAAACAAATTTATTTATTATTAATTTTATAGCATTATTTTTTTAAAACTAAGGCAAATGCTCAAATTATTTGCCGTCGGCACTAATACAAGCTCTGCATCGTCACAGAAAAGATCTTTTTACTAGTGGTGCAAATCTCTTTGCATTTATTTCTTCTGCTGCTGTATAAATATTGTGGCTCAGTTCGGCAAGATTTTCAATCAGTCAAAGGGATTTAGACCCAGAGAATGAGGAGGCCACGTAATCGAACCACGACGCCCAATCCATCTTTCTGGGTATTCTGTATGCAATCCCATACAGGGCAAGCATAATGAGCTGGGCAACCATCTTGTTGAAACCACATTTCTCTGTACATATTGAGTGGCACATCTTCTAACAAAGTTGTTAAATCATTTTGGAGGAAATACAAATAACATACGAAAGTATGAATTTTTTAAATAACGCGTTTTTTTGCAGAAAAACAGGCAATCATATTTTTTAGGAAAAGAAAGATAGCAAGTGTTATACCATTTTGGAATTTTGACTAAACAGGCCATCTTTTAAAATAACTTGCCAAGGGTGTTGTACTACTCCTTTGTTTAGAAATCGTGTGTCAAACTTAATAGAAAAAATTTTATTCGGATTTTCGGTCAGCAGGAATTCAAAGTAAAACAACTTTTTAAAATCGATAATATTTCGATTGTTAAAATTACAATCTTCTTCAGAGCATTTTATTGCTAAAAGATATTACAAAGAAAAAACATAAGTCAAGCCACCATATTTTAAAAAACAAAAATGTAACTTACTTGTAACTCGAAGTGGCGTAAAATCTCGGAAATCGTCAAAAATGAATTGATCAAACACATTATTAAAATTTAAAATTCAAAAAACACATTAAAATTGAAAAATGAAATATCAAAAAGTTATTAATAAAACGTGGAACAAATAGACGCAAAATGCACGACTGTCAAACGTAAAAAGGGAAACCCCGTTTTTGGAGTGAGAACACGATTCTCAAAAATTTTAAGATGTACAGTGTACAGAGAAAATTCATCAAACATATGAAATCTCTAAATTTCTTAACAATAAATTAACTCAAAATAATCAATATAAAAGCAATTAAAAGACTAAAATAGCATATCATTGGAGAAATTTGAGGTGTTATTAGGATTGGAACCTTGTAAGTTGCGTGAATTATTATGGTTAAACCTATCTAAGGCAAACAAATAAGCATAAATGTTGCTAAGGTTCGGAGTATCTGTTTTAAAATTTACAGTATTCTGTGTATAATTGATGTGTACCATCTCCAAGAGCAGCCTATTATGATAATTGCTTTCTGAATCCAAGATTTTTATATCCTTAAAATCAAACTCGTGTCTGCACTCCAAAACGTGTTGGCATAAAGCATTACTGGACTTTTTTAATCTGCAGTCACTTGCATGTTTTGAGATTCTACATTTCAGCCACTGACTGATCTGACCAACGTACTTTCCATCACAACCCTTGCATGAAACACAGTAAATCAAGTTGGATCTAAAATTATCATCAGTCTTATCCTTAAGTTTAGTAAAATGGTTTTCTAATTTGTTATCATAACAATCAATGATCTTTATGTTATCAATACGTTTCAACGTTTTCTTTAACTGGTCGCTTAACCTTCCTATGTATGGAAGCTTTCTGTACGTGAAGCGTTCTGTATTAATTAAATCTGGATTAATTAAACTGATCTGGTTGATATTATTATGTGAATACGTTGAAAACAAAAGTCTGTTGACCAATTTTAGAGGATAACCATTATTCACAAAATTTGTTCTAAGGAAGTTAAGATTTTCTTGTAAAAACTGATAATCACAAATATTCGAAACTCTATGCTTCATGCCGAGAATGATGGAAATTTTATGTTTTAAACTGTGACTGGAAAAATAATTCAAATAGCGTCCCGAGTATGTTGGCTTGACGTACCAGTTAAATTGAATGACGTTATTTTCATTTCTTATCATATTTGTATCAAGGAAAGAAATGCAGTTGTCGTTTTCGATCTCAATTGTGATCTGAATGCTCGGATGAAAACCGTTAAACAAATTCAACGTTGAATCTAAATCATCGATATGTATTCCAATGATCAAATCATCAACATACTTTTTGATAAAACTGATGCGAAAACCCGAGTTGTTATTTGGTACCCAGGTTGGCCTCTCACCCGGTGCCTGCTTGACGTTGAGTTTCGGAACACCTGTATATCATTATACATCCCAATGGTGTGTTTTTGCACCATTAATGTTTCAAGTTGTATTTTCAGAATTCATTTTATATTTCGCGCAGAATTTTATGCATTAAAAATAGTTTTATTTCCATTGTATATTTTGAATTGATGCAAATGTGGTTTCAAAGCAAGAATTATGAAATATTTTGATATGTATAGCTTATCAACCTTATAGAGTTATTGTACAAACAGCTAGCACCTTCAAAATTGGAAATATACGGCTGTAAATAATTTTAAAAACGCTGGTGCGTTTTCACCCCAGTGGAACTAAATGGGTTAAGATACACACAAATATTTATTTTTATTTGATCCATTTGATTGTACAGTTTGACTATAATTAAAAGAGTGACCTTTTAACAGCGTTGCTCCAATTATCATTATTTTTAAAGATTACCACGATTTGATCTACTTAACTAGGCTATATTTTGATAAAAAAAAATTGTTTGCAAACGATTTTTCGCCGAAATTATTTAATTTCGTTGTGTAACATGACGAATTTGAATTGATTGTGAGCTACTCATAGAATAACAGTAAAATATTCCACTTTCTCACTTGATAAATGCATTCTATATTCGTAACTTATCACAATTCCTCTTCAACTCATCCTGACGAATCAGTTTCATTTCCAAGCAATAACCCCATTAACACTTTTTAATTATAAATAATTCTAACACACATTACCCAGACTATTTTTTTTTAATCAGCAATTAATTTTTTTCTGTGTTGTTAAAGAGTGGTATAAATATAAATCGAATCGTTTCAGTAATTTCAGTTTCTTAGTTGAATCAACACAATTAATGCAAGTTTTATAAAATAAAAAATGGAATTTTTAATAATTACTTTATTAACATTTGTGTATATGGTGTATTATTATTACAAAAAATCGTTTCAATATTGGGAGAAGAAAGGTGTTGCTCAAATCAAACCAAGTTTTCCTTTTGGGAATATTGAAAATCCGATTACAAGTAAAGGAGGAACCGTCATGAATTTAGCCGATTTACACCAACAATTTAAAGCGAGCGGGGCAAAAATCGGCGGGATTTACGCAGGTTGTTCCCCAATGATTTTAATCATCGACCCAGAATGGCTAAAACTCATCGTAAGTAAAGATTTTAAATACTTTAATAGCCACGCTGCGATATTCGACGAAAAAGTCGAACCGTTAGAGGCGCATCTTTTTAATTTAGAAGGTGCTAGATGGAGGGAAATGAGGGTTAAAGTTACCCCAACGTTTACTTCGGGGAAAATGAAAACGATGTTCAACACTTTGTTAGAATGCGGGGTTCAACTTGAAGAATTTATTGAAACATTCCATAAAAACAAAAAAGATTTAGACATCAAAGAAATTTTAGCCTGCTTCACCACCGATGTAATCGGATCTTGCGCTTTTGGATTGGAATGCAACAGCTTTAAAAATCCTAAAGCTGAATTTAGAAGTTATGGCAGAAAATTGTTTGAGTCTAGCCTCAAATTTCGAGTAAGAAACATTCTCACGATGATCTCTCCCTCAATCGTTAAAAGCTTAAAGCTTCATTTCACCGATAAGTGTTCATCGAAATTCTTCCGTGCATTTATAAAAGATTCATTTAAATATAGAAAATCGAAAAATGTAACAAGAAACGATTTCATGCAACTTTTAATTAACATGGAAAACCCCATTGATGAGTTAGCCGCACAAGGTTTCTTTTTCTTTTTGGCTGGATTCGAAACAGCTTCAACCACGATGAGTTTTTGTTTGTACGAGTTAGCTCATCATCAAAATGTCCAAGATAAACTTCGAAACGAAATTAATGAAATTATTAAAAAAAATGATGGAAAATTGAGTTATCATGCAATGATGGAAATGAAATATATGGACCAAATCATAAATGAAACTTTAAGAATGTACCCCCCGATTCATACCCTCCCAAGACTTTGCACTCAAAATTACACCCTTCCAAATGGGGCAATTATAGAAAAAGGTACCCCTGTTTTCACGAGTTTATTAGCTTTGCAAAGAGATGAGGATTATTTCCCGGAACCAAATAAATTTAATCCGGATCGATTTTCTAAGGAAAATAAACGACATATCACTCCATTTACTTTTCTTCCGTTCGGTGAAGGACCTAGAATTTGTGTTGGTAAATTATTAAGATACTTGGGGATTTTATTCGAATTTATAACAAAACTTTCTTTAGGTCTTCGATTTGGGATGATGCAAACAAGAGTTGGGTTAAGTTTATTTTTGAAAAATTATAAAGTGGCTCCTCATGAATCCACGAGATATCCCATGCAGTTTGATAATCAGTCAGCAATTTTATCTCCAAAAGGGAAGATTATACTAAAACATGAAAAATTGAAATTTGATTGAAATTTAATAAATATTTGATGCACCATAAAAAATTTTTTATTTTCCTTAATTATCGTTGTTATAATCTTTCAAATGCTACTTTGCATTTTTTATTGTTATTGATTTGAAATATAGAAATTTAAAAAATCGTATCTCAAGAACGAATCGATATATCACCACGAAATACATAACATTTTAATGAAGATTTAAATAGCAATATATAATTTCTTATTAAAACTAGAACTAACACAAGTTCGAACTTGTTTCTGAAAAATGTTGCAACATGGCATCTGAAATGTCAAACATTTTTTGAAAAGACGCACGGCGAATAATGATACTATTAGTTTTAGTTTAATTACCACCGGCCGCAAAAGCCTTCGGTACTTGAGTGCGGGAAGTTAGCCCCATCTTTTTATTTTTAAATTTTTTATTGTTGTTCTAGATTGTTCTAGAGTTGTTCTACATTGTTCCAAAGCGCCAAATCGAAAAAATAAAAACTCCGCGAGAAAACCGAAAAAACGGGTTTTTTGACTAGCCCCCCATTTTTGGAAAAGTGAAATTTTCTTTGTTGTTCTGGGTTCTTCTAGTTGTTCTAGTTATAGTTCTAGAAAATCAAAATTATGGGATACAGCATTACGAAGTTATAACTAAAAATAGATTAGGCCGCCGAAATGCGGGGCTAACTTCCCGCACTTTCGGTACTTTCGTACATATAATTTCTTATTTTCTATAAACATCGTTGTTATGATATAAAATTGCGTAAATTGATGCATTAAATTATAGAGTGCAGGAAGTTTACCCCCCATTTTTTGCTTTTTAAATTTTTCATTGTTGTTCTAGATTGTTCTAGAGTTGTACATTGTTCCAAAGCGGCAAATAGAAAAAATAAAAACTCGGCGAGGAGAACCGAAAAACATGGGTTTTTTGACTATCTCCCCATTTTTGAAAAAATCAGATTTTCTTTTTTGATCTGGGTTGTTCTAGTTATTATTCCAGAAATTCAAAATTATGGGATACAGCATTACGAAGTTATAACTAAAAATAAGTTTGCCTGCCAAAATGTCTGGTTGATTTCTGTCATGTTCAATCATGTTGAGAATGGTTGCACAGATTGCCTTTGTTTCCTTAAATTATTTTTAAAACCCGGTTATTATATTATAGTAAAGCAACATACAAAAAACAGCTGAACCACAGCTGAACTATTAACAGGAATAAATTATTTTGTAAGCGAGAATATTGCTGGAGTAATTCTACTTCAAATATTGCGTTTCTTTGTAAACAACTATTTAAAGAAGAATTTAGTTATTGTAGCACTAAAAACTGCAATAATTGAAAAAAGGTAATTGTCGATGTTAATCGACATTAGCATCATAACAGTATTTGGCTATGCACAGCTACAGCAAGCAATAGAAAACTACATGAAAACTCTAAGCAACAATTGCAAAAAAAAGTGGTTGTGAGGCAAATAGCATTAGCCTTCAATATGGAGAGTTGCTGTTTATAGAGACAACGAATGGAGAGAACAATAAAGCAAAATTGAGTGATTGAGTGATCAATTTACAACCCCACAACAAATTCTATATCCTCGCAGGTATCATCAGTTACGAAGGTACTCAATCTTTGAATGATGTAACGGCATTTGTGCCCAATAATGCCAATTTGATATTATTTAATAACTTACGAAAAGAAATCGTACAAGTTGAAGAAACTACTGAAATAAATGCACAAATGTGCATATATGTTTATAAATGAGCAAAGTGATGTAACCGTTTTGTTCCGTGATATTAATTTATTTACATGATTTCGTTTATATAGTTACAGTTTACTTTAGAATAAGGTATTGTATGTATTTGTAATAACATCAACAATGTCATTACCCCTTCTTTTACATTAAATGGGTTGTAAATTTCAACTACTACTGTTTGTGATTTTTATGGATCAAATAATTAAGAAGCAACAAATTAACACCATTGAAGACCTTTGTATGCAGACGATATAATGCTGATAGCAAGTACGAAAACGGAACTACAAAGAAAAATTTACACCTAGATAACATATTTGGAAGAAAGGGGAATGCAAATAAGTATAGAGAAAACCAAGATTATGCATATAACTAAAGGGTAAAAGGATAATAACATAAATATAAGGATAAGTGAGGAAATACTGGAAATTGTGGATAAATTTGAATACTTGGCACCATTATCACCGAGAATGAAACAATAGACAGAGAAATACAAAATTGAATACAAAAAACAAGTAATGTATATTACCAAATGAATAACACAATTGTGGACAAGAAGGAAGTAAGAACAAATAGAAAATTAAGAATTTATAAAACTATACAGGGTGTCTCAGCGAGACCGGTCATTAGACGTTTCTGGGGTTCTGGCGAAAATAAAAATTTGTGAATTTAGACTTAAGTATTATCAATTACGATCTCTTCGACTAAAATATTTTCAGATTTCTTGCACTTCCGGTTATACCGGAAGTCGCCACCTACTTTATTTTTTTAAATGGAACACCCTGTATATTTTTACATATTTGGATTTGTCTGTTTTCAAGGTTTATAAATAACTTTACTTTTTGCAATTTGATTCGGCCGTTCTCGAGTTATTCGAATTTTTCTAGAAAAATCTGCTCCAGCAGACATTTGTTCAAAAAATCAGAAAACACTCAATTTTTGGGATATCAATTTAGGATTGAGAACATGCTTAAGCAACATGATGGAGTATGTTTTGGTGCCGAGAACTGCGGTCTAGAACGTTTGATCACTTTACTATGGCACGTTAACTTTTCAAAATTTGGAAGTACCATAACTTCATTTTTTTAAATGGCACCCCCCATATTTTATTTTTTAGTCGTCTTCGGTGTCTCATTCTACATCTTTTATATCCCATATGGCCCATACCTAATATTAATAGTTTGGGAGATAATTAGGGTTTTTTGAAAAATGCACACATATCATATGGATATTTAGCCTAGTGTGCCATGAAAAACAAGCCTTCTCAATGAGTTCTTGTCAAAGACTCACTTGTTTACGTCACTTGATGCATGTGAGCTAATAATTATCTGTTATGTCCCTTAATATTAGTACTGAAACGAGTTAAAATCGATAACAATAACGAAAGTAATATTTACACAAATCAAGAAATTCTTAATTTATTTTTTTTGCATGAAAAGCGCGACAAAGTTCGTAGTATGATTCCCAGATCTTCTTTGGCAGCTCGAATTGAGGTGTTGGGACTGGGCTCGAAATAAGCCAAGGTATTCACCTCTTCCGTTGCATTATCTACTACATTTTTTGGTCAGTTTAACACGTGATTAATTCGTCCAAAATGCAAAAAATTTGCTTCTATTCCTCTAAATTTACCTTTTGTCATCGGAGATAAATGTGGATAATTTTCATTAAACATTCTGCAAGTTCTACTAAGAACTTTGTCGCACTTTTCGTGCACAAAAAATAAATTATGGATTTCTTCATTTGTATAAACATTATTTACGTTATTAATATCCATTTTAACTGGTTTTAGACTCACAAGCATCAAACAACCTAAATTAGACTTTGACGTTTATCAATAAGTCATTAAACATTTGTTTTCCATGGCACACTAGGTTAATATCCATATGATATGTGAGCATTTTTCAAAAAACCCTAATTATTTCTCAAACTATTAATGTTAGGCATAGGACATATGGAGTATAAAAGATGTAAAATGAGACGCCGAAGACGACTAAGTAATAAAATATGGGGGGTGCCATTTAAAAAAATGAAGTTATGGTGTTTCCAAATTTCGAAAAGTTAACGTGTCATAGTAAAGTGACCAAACGATCTAGACAGCCGTTCTTGGCACCAAAACATACTCCATCATGTTGTTTAAACATGTTCTGAATCCTAAATTGATATCTCAAAAATCGAGAGTTCTATGATTTTTTGAACAAATGTCCGCTGGAGCAGATTTTTCTAGAAAAATTCGATTAACTCGAGAACGGCCGAATCAAATTGCAAAAAGTAAAGTTATTTATAAACCCTGAAAACAGACAAATCCAAATATGTAAAAATATACAGGGTGTTCCATTTAAAAAAATAAAGTAGGTGGCGACTTCGGGTATAACCGGAAGTGCTAGAAAACTGAAAATATTTTAGACGAAGAGAACGTAATTGATAATACTTAAGTTTGAATTCTCAATTTTTTATTTTGGCCAGAACCACAGAAACGTCTAATGACCGGTCTCGCTGAGACAGCCTGTATACAGGATGATTCTCAACCTATACACATAAACTTGGCAATTTACTCCTCATTACAAATAATGACTAATAGGCGAAAAAATTTGTAGTAAAATATTTTCTGTTTCATAGATATCCGTGATATTTTCTTTCAAATCAAGAATACATAGAACATTTTAGAATAACATCACAGCAAGTGTTCGTAATTATTTTCCATATTTTCGATCAATTGGGCTCCCCATATCCACGATCTCCCACTAGCTCGGCCTAAACCAGCTGGTTTATTACTATAGTAATATATATAACATTTTAAAGACTTGACCTGCTGTGTTAGGAATAGGTATACATGAAGTATCGGTAGGTTTAGTGTTAAAAAAATTACACTTTTTTAATTTTTTCTTACACGACACATTCAATTGTTTTTCTGCTTTCACCATTGTAATCGGCAGAGAAAATACTACTAGTTTACTTATTTAACCGACTTTGTACCTCTACTAATAACAAAGTTACTAATGGTACGCACTTAATTTAGAACAGGCTGTATGACAATCCTTTTATTTTCAAATTAATTTTTTTTCTGAGTGTATTAAATCAATTTTCGATTAAATCTTTTAATTTGTTCGACTCTGATTGTCCAGGTCCATTATCGATGAAGATGTACAAACAAATTATCCATTAATAATTGATTTTTCCATTATGATAATTGATTTTTTCATCACGTGCTTCTCTTTACGTTGTCCTATGCGAAGTCATACCAATACAGTGATAGTTAAAAGGAGTTAAAAGCTGCGCATTCCTCAATCAATCCAGTCGTATTGTTTT